CAGGCGGGCGGCCACCGGGCCGGGAGCGGGGCTCAGGCGCGGGGCACCGCCTCCGGGGCCTCAGGCCGTCCCGTGTCGCGTCGCATCACTCACATTTTGGCGGTGGCGGCGACGACGGCGGGTGAGGACCTGAGGAACTCTGCAGCCAACACCCGAAGGCGGGGAGGTGGCACCGCGGTGACGTCACTGGGCAGGGCCCGGCGGGAGTGGGCGGGGCGCGCTCGGCGACGGAGGGCGCGCCGGAAGTGGGCGGGGCCCGGAGTGGCGCTCCTCCCCGGACCCGAGCTAGTGGAGCCCGGTGGTACCTTGAGCACCGGAAAGGGACTGTTTGAGTAAGTGGAGGTGGGGCCGCCCTCTTAGTCTTTTGGGGCCGGTGGGCCATTTCTGTGCTTTTGATAATATTAGGGAGAGCGTACGCACTAATGCTTAGTGGCCCAGCTTTACCCTAGCGGTTCTGGGGAAAAACACCTTATTTTTCCAGTGACGTTGTGAAATGAAAATTCCTTTTGAGGGGCTGGGGATTTAGCTCAGCGGCACAGCGTCTGCCTGGCAAGCGCAAAGTCGTGAGTTCAATTCCCGGTACCGGAAAAAAAAGAAAGTTCCTTTCGGGCTACTTATCACAGGATTGGGGTGAAGCAGGTTCCCTTTTGCTTTTTCACTAGTGACACAAACATTTGTCATTGCACGGATCGTATAATCCGGCAAAGGGAGCCTCGGCATGAGACTAGTTTATCCATTTCTGTAGTGCAGTAGCCCTAACACTAGTCTTGGGCGGGGTTACTTTGTAAAGCACTCGTTACTCAACTATCCTACCCAGAGACAGTCGCTCAAGTAAAACACACACACTGAACAGGTCAGCCGGCCATCTCCTAGACAAGTGGAAAGTCCACACCAAACTGTCTTTTCAAACTGGAAATAAAGTGAGAAGAGAAACGTTAACTGCAGCAAACAAGAGAGCCACAGAGGTCCGAGGAGCTAAACACAGTTTTTCAGGCAAGGGATGAATAAACACCACGAACAAAGACGGCGCACGACAATGCACAGGCCACCAAGGGTGCAGGGTGGGCAGAGCTGAGCACGTCAGAGCTCATTTAAACGCTCCACAGCCCACGGAGGACTGGCGTGGGGAGATTCGCCGTGCAGAATTTGGCAGTTCTGAAACTGATGGGGGTGGCCTCCTAGAGAGATAAGAGGCTGCACTGAAGGGGAATGGCAGAAAGATGACAAAATACTCAGGAAGGTAGGCTGCGGGGAGTCAGCTGCAATACTCCTTTTAAAAACTTCTGGACTTTAACTGAAAAGGTGGATTTACATCAGCATCTCTATGTTTCAAATAACGGCACTCAGACAAATGACTGATGCGCTGGCAGGTGGAAAGCTTTCCCCCAGTAAAGCGGCTCTAAAATGTTTTCTTTGGTGGATAGCTCGGAAACATGTAGCATTCCATGTCAAAGCACTGTATCTGAATCAGAAGGCACTATCTTAAATTACTACATGGGGTTTTGAATATGTGCTCAACACTTCGGATTTCAGTATGAAGTTAAAGCAAAACACACAGATAGTATGGGGAAATTTTCTTCATTTTTAATTTACAGCAGAAAGAATATAAAGCATTCAGAAAACATTTTCCATATTTTAAGGGCAATTCAAAACATTTTGCATGATTTCCAGCAGCTGAGTTCTTCAACAGATCCATTGGTTCAATGATGCTTTACATGCACAATTACAAAAATAAAACTTACAAAAAGAAGACATCTAGACTAGTTTTACATGCAAGTCTCAGGGACCCCCCATTGGGCGCCAACTACTGTGTGGAACTGCCATAAGCGACCGTGCAGCCAGAGAGGGGTTCGTGTTATTGTCTTTATTTTGTTCACACAGTACAGCTGATTTTGAATGGGTAACAAGAATAGCAATTAAATCTTCAGGAGACAGAATAAGGTTAGCTATTAATTTTATAATGAAATCCTACTCCTGGCACTTGGGAATTCAGATTATCCAAGAAAGCTGCGCTTACCTATCATCGTATATTCGAAATTAAGATTCACAACCAAGAAAAAGCGGTCAGAAATGCTTTGTTTCAGTGGAAGTGCATTTTTACCTCACCTAGGATTCACAGTTGTACCGGTAGGTTTTGAACCTACTCCCTATTCCTTCCATAAGAACCTCCTAATTCTACTTAAGTAATCTACATCCAGAATTTTCTTATTCAGCTAAGAATGTAGCATGTAAAACATTAAAAACAAAAAAATAAATGTGAGGGTTAAAGCAAATCCACTGAGGTCATTACTCTGGTCAAAAGATCATTTATGTGTACCGTAAGAAATGGAATAAATGTATCCAAATTCAGTGTTAATATAGGGTATTCTGAAAGAGCTGGCTTTCACATTCTGATCCCACTTATGAATGCGATTGTGTGTTGGTAAATTACTCAAGTGTCCTCCTACAGGTCAAACTGTGTAAAAGAATAGGCATTTGGGACTGCAACAGCTGCAACATAACCCACACATTTAAAAACAAAATTGAGTCAGGTCAGTTTACAAATGTACAGGTGGCTACTAGTTGTGGGGCTGTCACTGTTGTCAAAGCTGATCACAAGCAGAAAGACATATACTGTACAGTAATTCGAGGTTGGCAGTGAAAGGAAGTAATTAAAAAACAAGTACAATTATAGAAAAGGCACCAAGAGCACTGACCCCAGTTTTTACCACACTCTCTTTGTATCTACCTTCCTTCTAAAGACACCAGTTTAAAAGCTTATTTGTGAATATTTTTAGGCTTCACAACAAGCCTCGAGTTTTAACTCACAGTTGGCAGCTGGAACCAAGTAAGGACATCTCCGCTTCACACCAACTGATCCTCAAACCTAACCTGGGGATTCTAAACTGGCATCAGCAAATGCAAACTTTATTCTTTCAATTTGACATTGATAGTTTAATTTTTAAAAGCATCAGATTTCTTTGGCTCCTCATTATGTGGAAATAGTAATATATCATGACATCCCTACAAGACCAGTCTCTGTCTTTCTCATTTGTTTGTACAGTTTAATTACAGTTTCCGATTTCCAGCAGGAGGTATGAAAACATAACACTGTTCTACTCTTCAGACTATTTCTTTTGTCAGATTCTGATCATTCTAAGTGTTCTTCATTGGAGTGAGTGGATGGTGTTAAGCTATATAAGGATTCATCTTATGATTATCTGTTTTGCAAAAGTAACTTAATTTTCTTAAGCAATATTAGCATTCACATTACTTGGCACCATTGGCAAAAAAATTTTTTAAATAAAATAAAGTAAACTCCCGGTAGCCAAAATTAAATGTAAACATATCCTTTTTTTAAGTAATGTTACTCTGCCTTTGTTCCTAAGTCTAAATACAGTAGCTCTTTTTTTTTTGCAGTTTAATCATGCTTTAGCAAAATGTTCTTCTAAAGAACATTTAAAATAAAGTACTCTTATAGTGAAATAAAGTTTTTTTTTGTTTCATTTTACAGACCATAGCCACTAATGCTTTGCTTTTGTTCATTTCTTTTTTCTTGATTTCATGCACATATCTCTTTGTTTTAATATATACAATATATACAAACAATACATCCACATTTTTCTCGCTCATTCAGACAAAACTATACAAATAATTTTATCTTGCCATGTTATTGACCTTTGTGAATAAAATAGCAATTAATATAATCCCTTTCAAATATTTTCTCACTTTTCATTTCTACCTTCTATATATACACAGAATCCGCTGTTTGGATGAGCTAGAGCCAAAAACATGGGATTTACTGGCCAGAACGCAGCACCACACTGGTCGTTTAGGTGGCAAATGTCCAGGCAAGGTTTATGATTCCTCGGAATTACCAGTTTCCAAGGTTACTAAAAAAGGCTACATGCTTTACCAATTCTTAAGTAATTCTCATTGCACATGAAAGTAAGGCAAAAAAATTAAAGTGCTGAACATGAGAAAAGGGACAAGATGATTACTATCCTCGCAGGCTCTTGGGCGGTGGCGGGGACATGAAAATAAATTTAAACTCTGTAAGCTGCTTTTCATTATCTCCCATGCATTACCCGTTTACTACACACCTGCCCCTCTGCAAATTTCCACAAGACACTAAAAACCTGCAGATTTTAGAAGTTGCATTAAGTGTGCTGTAGAGATTAAAACAAGTGAACAAAAATAAAATAAGACCCCGTGAAGGAAATGAGAACACACGGACCCAATAAAGATTTGTATGATCTAAGCCCTCCATTGAGAATCCAGCCCACAGATTCAGCTTCTTGGAAATAACCGCAGGTGCAGGTACAGCATTCTCCTTGTCGCTAGCGTATCCCCACCTTTTCTTAACTATATTTTTGGTATAAATATTTGTACAGTTCCACACGATGTTTGAATACAGCCCTATATGAGAAGGAAAACGGCCTCTTCCTAAGAAGAGAAGCCTCTTTCAAATCCTCCTGGTGTCTTGTTTTCCTATGATCCAACAGAAGATTGAGTTCCAAGATGTCTTGCTGATCAAATTAAAAGTTGTCCATGAAAGTGCAAATGCAATGACCAAAACATTCCTGTTAAAATCCTGCAGCTGTTCTCCCCAAAACTGCAGAGGGATTGTGTGTGTGTATGTGTGTGTGTGTGTGTATGTGTACGTGTGCGCGTCTGTTGTTTTTGTTGCATGTCTCTGCTAAAAACAGAAATGAAAACAGTCTGAAAAGCAATGTCACATTGCTAAGGGATGCTGCTGTATGTCTTCAAGTTCCTTGGCCTTTCTCAATTCTTTCACTCTGGAAGAGAAACAAAAGAGAACACCAGGCGATAACTATATAGCGAAATTGTGACCAAGCAGGGGAAAAGGCTATTACCATCCCTCTGAAATGAAAAGCCAAGACAAAACCCCTTAAATTGACAGCAAAGGAAGCTCTCGAGAAACTGTGGAAAAGACTATTCCAGAGAAATGACTTTACTTACAGTGATTTTTTAAAAAATAATTCTAAAACTTGGTTCTACATCACGTGCTCCAAAGACAGCAGAATCAAATTCTATTGTAGTAAATCAAGGTTAAGTGTTTTATCTTAGAAAAACTTATTCCAATAACTTTCTTTTTGACCTGGTGGGCCACCATGAATCCCCTGTAATTCCATGTGATGGAAACTTGGGAAACTGCATGCACATTTATTTAATTTTGAATGTATCTAGGGACA